CCTCCCCACTTGATCGACACCGCTTCGACCTCTGCTGCTGGTGCGTCGGGTTCTCAACCAGGTAAAGATTTCCTTTACCTACAAATAAACTGTACCATTATTTTTTTTAATAATTTGTTAATTAACGTTAATTTTATATATCTTTGCAGCCAAGAAGAACACCCGGGGACCTTGTCGCCAGTTGAGTACGGCGAAGCTCACTCGGGTGACCAACACTCGTATCAACATCAGATACGACGAGCGTCATCGGGCTGCACCTACTGCGGACCAACATAGCTCATTGGCCCACGATGTTGGTTCAGTCATTCGGACCCATTGTCCGATGAAATGGAAGTCTTGGAAGGCCATGCCTAACGAGGTGCAGATGGAGGTGCGTGGACAGCTGTCGGTATGTATCCTACCTTTTAATTGTTTTCCCTTCCAATTTTATATATTTCTAGTACTTAATGCATGTAATTAATTTATTGCAGATCAACTACAATTTAGAGAATCTCAACGATGATTTGTTCGAGTACATCGATAGACTGTTTGCGGATAGGTACAAGCAGTGGAAGAGCGACCTGCACCACCATTTTCAGGCATATGATGATCCGCAGGTTGCTCTTCTGGAGGGTTGCCCGAAGGAGCTTGAGGGGCGGGAGGATAGTTGGGAGTGGCTCTGTGGTCATTTTCAGGGGGCAGATTATGTGGTATTTTTTTTTTACTAAGTTCAAAATTCTGTTTTCATTTCATTTTCAACTAAAACATTTTATTTTTTGTATAACAGAAGATGGCCAAAGCAAATAAGGGCAATAGGGCGAAGAAGACTCTTCTCCACCATTCAGGTGCCAGGCCCTTCTCCTATAGGATGGAGGCGCGGCGGTAGGTAATAATTGTATAATTTTTATTTACTTTTTAATGTATTTAATATTAATTTGTTTTTTTTGTACTAACAATTTTTTTTCTCTTGTTCAATTAGGAGGGGTCCAAATTCCCAGAGATTGATGTCTTTGGCGACGTTTATGTTCGACCTGGGAATGAGTTGGCGGAGTCCATTCATGTAAGTAGTCTTTAATTATAATTATTCTCTTACACGTTCAAGTTTCAACTTTATTATATGAATGTTTTAATTAATATTTTATGTTATGTTAAATAGATGACCATGATTGAGAAGAGCCAGTTGGTTCTTCAGGAGTCCGCCTCTCAGCTTCCTCCCGATACGCCGCTCGAGTCCGTGGCTCCTCCACCAGATGCAGGGTTTCATATCTTGACGGAGGCTTTGGAGCAGACTCTCGGGAGGAGGCCAGGGACATATTGTTGAGGGATGGGGAATGCCCGGCGGCGGGAACCTAGATCCCGTTCATCGTCCCAGTCAAACAGTGCTATAACAGCAATGATGGCCCAATTTGAAGCCCGGATGTCCCAGATGGACCAGCTTCAAGCCCGGGTGGCCCAGATGGCCGAGCTTGAAGCAAAGGTGGCCCAGATGGGCGAGCTTGAAGCCCGGATGTCCCAGATGGATTCGTTCTTACAGTCCCTCGCCCAGTCCGGCATTCCCGTACCGTCTTTTGTTCCTCCATCCACCTCTGAGCCCATCCAACCCGAGCATGGCCATCAAACCTCTGCCCCTGTCCACAATGTCCAGATCGGAGACCAAGTAGATTATCAAACAATGTTTGATTAGTTTTCTATTTTCTTTATGACATTTGAAACATTTTTCTTGTATTTGACTCTATATTATAACAAAAACTTTCTCTTAATTACATTTTTTTATTGTCATTTCATTTAATTATAAAAATAAATAAACCAAACAAAAATTTCCCCAAAAAGAAAAAAATAATAATTTAATTACTCTTTTGCGCGACGAACATTATCCGTGATGTCGTCGCGCAAAATTTTCCACAGGAAAATACAAACCATTATAATTTAAATGGAGAAACAATATATTTACGTTTGCACGACGAAAAATGTCATCCCCTAAAGGCAACGCGACGACGAGAATTTTGTAGCTCTATATTTGCGCGACAAATGGCATTGTCGCACAGGGTTTGTTCGACAATCTATTCTTCGTCGCGCATAAGACTGCGCGACGAAAGTTCATCGTCGCGCCAGGTTTGTGCGACAGTTATTTTTCGACGCGCATAAAGCTGAGCGACGACCCTTATGCTGCCTCTCAAATGTCTGTGCGACGATGGTAATTCGTCGCACCAGGTTTGAGCGACAATTTTTTTTTCGTCGCGCATAAAGGTGCGCAACAATTATTATGCCGCCTCTCAAATGTCTGTGCGACGACGGCAAATCGTCCAGTGATATTTAGTAGTGCTATTTGAATTACCACCATTTTTTAAGTAATGTATTAAATTTTTGTTGCAAGATGCCTCATGAATCATTTATATTAGGCTTATTTACTGTTTTACTTCTTGAAACAGGCACTCGGTCTCATTTTATCCCATAAAATTGAAATTTTCTCACTTAACATCCAAAATCTCTTAAAATTGCTAGAAGTTTCTCGCTTTACCACTTACGTTCATTTCCATCCACAAAACCGTTAAGGCCCCGTTTGAGATTGCTTTTTTTGGCCAAAAACCTACTTCACTTTAAAGTTAAGTAGTTTAAGGTGTTTGGTAAAAAGAAAATATCCCGATTATTTTAAAAGCAATGGCCTTTTGACAACATCTTTTAAAAGTAAGCTCTGGGTTGCTTTTCAAAATAAGCAGATATGAACATTTAATGGATTTTTTTAATTCCCAAAATACCATCATTCAATTTAAAAAATGACACCACCTCCACGTCCACATCTAACTCCACCACTTGCACCACCACATTCACTACCTCCACAACCACCGCCGCCACCACCACCACCACCACATCCTCCTCCTCCTCCTCGTCCACCACCACCACCACAACCACAACCACCACCTCCTCCACCACCACGTCCTCCTTCACCTCCACCTCCACCTCTACCTCCACAACCGCCATCTCCACCACCACCAACTCCACCTTCATCACCACCAGAACCTCCACTCCATCACTACAACTACCACCACATGATTAGTACATAACGCTTTTAACATCATATCTATTTTAGTCATTATTCACAGTTACAACAATTTTAAATTAAAATTTACCAAACATTTTTTACACTGTTTTTTGTACTAACAGCACTTTAAAAATATTGTTTACCAAACATGGAGCTGCTTTACTTTACAGCTAATTATTTTCAAAGCACAGTAGAAGCAACTTTTTTTAAAAGTGACAGCAATCCCAAATTGGGCCTAAGTGTGCTGACGCAACATGGTCATTTTAGTAATTTTAGATATTAAAAAACTTTAAAATCCAAATTAGTTATAGAAAACAGATTTTACTGATTTTAAATTTGTTTTTAGTCTGTGTGTGTCCTTAGCTATCCTTTCTAATCAACATTTTCAGCCAGCTTCATTTTCTTGGTATGAACTCAGAGAACCTCAAGACGCCTGACTTCATCCAGCACGCCCATATCTATTTCCCTATCAAATCTTCCAAACCTTCTATGAGCTGGATCAATGTTATTGATTTGGGGGCTTCACAACAATTGATTTGGAAAGCTAAGGATGCTTTAGGGGCAACTCCTCCAATTCGCGAATATGAGCCATTTGTTTCCTAACTCAACCAACATCATCATAGCCAACCTCATTAAATAAGCTTTCCTAACGGTTTAACGGTTTTAAAGTTTTTAATAGCTAAAATTATCAAAATGCTTATGCCACGTTAGAACATTTAACGGTTTTATTGATGAAAATAGACGAAAGTGTTAAAGTGAGACAATTTCAGCAATTTTAAGAGATTTTGAGGGTTAAGTGAGAAAATTTCAATTCTAGATAATAACGTGAACCCGTTTCAGGAGTTACAATAGTAATTAATAAGCCTTTATATTATATATACCAGCAACTTTTGCCCGCAAGCAATCCATGTGTTAATGTCCTCTGAACTTTTTGTTGTTGTTTATTTTATTGTTTAAAGGAGGTGAGTAGTTGAGTTTGAACAAAGGAGTTGCTATGGTTAAGCAAGGAATTAATCTGTTTTTTTGTTTTTTTTTGTTTTGAAGAAATAAACTGTTGATTTTTGTGGGGAAAATTCTGTAAAAGATAAGTTTATGTAAGGACTTCAGAAAATCATCGTCCCCACACCGTACACTTACTGTAGATCCGTCACTGAGCAGAGCACAAATGACATTAATTAGTATAGGTACTTACGAAAATGATGGTTGGCAAGTCTTGGTGATCAGGAGGACTGACAGAATGTGGCAAGATATAGATACAGATAGCTCAAATTGGAAAACCCAAAAAGAGAGAAAAAAAAAAAAAAAAGGAAAAAGAAAGAAATGGATGGGTAGATAAGAAATGTGATGGAATCATGTGGGGAGGTTGAGGTTGGACACGAACATCCCTCCCTTTTCATTTCATACCTATCAACCATTTTACAATCACACGAGCGCAGCTAACCTCCCTCCCTCCCTCCCTCCCTCCCTCCCTCCTCATCACTACACTTATTTTTTTATTTTTCTTCTTTTTGGTATTAATCTCTCTCTCTCTCTCTCTCTCTCTCCCTTCAACTTCAACTTCAACACTACTCGTCTCGTCTCTCCTCCAATATTTTCCATATCTACTTACTTGACTCTACTCTCCCATCTGTTTGCTTCTCTTACCCTACAAGGACGGCAATGACTAGCGACTTCTTCTGACCAATCTGAACAATTTGACCAAAAGGGTAAATTGGTAAATTGGTATGCGGAAAACAAGGAAAAATAACCCCTCAAATTTAAACAATATGAGCTAGTTGTTAAGGAGGAGGAGGATGGGCATGGGATGCACACAATTCCCCTCCCTAATTTCTCATGTGTAATGTGTTACCCGTGAGTCAAAGTCAAACCTCCTCTCACGTGTCAAACGTAGCTGATGATGCACACATGTTTCCACTTTCACACGCTTAACTTCAACCCCTCCCTCTAACTCAGATATTTTCTTTTTCATTTTAATTTTTTTATATATATTCCCACTCATCTCTATAAATTCAGCCTTTTCCAAGCTTATGACAAAACCAGCGCCCCCATGAAAATGAACTCTCACACACGCCCTCTCTCTCTCTCTCTCTCTGGCTTTCTCTTCCCAGAAAGGGATTACTTTGCTGCTCTTCTTCCTTAAATTTTTATCATTACACATACATATCCAGGTATCCTTCCACTTCTTTCCAACTTTGTCAGATCCTTTTTATGTTTTACTTGCTGTATTAATTTACTTCTTCTGAACTCTCTCTGACTGTTATATATCCTTTGTTCCTTTCCAGATGGATTAATATATACAAGGTGCATGCAGTACTTCACGCCATCTAGAAATCTCAACATATGCTAACTGCTGCTATATATATATATATATATATGTATATGGTGGGTGAGTAGAATCCATGCTATCCTTGTCATGCGAGCAGCCCTTTCTTGGGTTATCCTTTGTTTCGTTGTCTGTTCGACCTTGTTCCTTTTACACACACACATATACATATACCTAGGACTAGCAGAATCTTCATCACGATTCACGGTCACCCATATGATCATATACAAACCCTAACTGTAAAATTAATTAATTCAACCTCCTTTACAAAACAGGGACCAACAACCACTTTCTTTTCTTTATCGATCAGTAGCCAGATTTGTTTTATGTATCGATCGATCAGCTTATTGTTAAAGAATTAATTTGGTTTTGCTTTCTCCCATGCATACATTTATCCGGTCGCTCCCTCCCTCCCAATATCTGTGAATTATACCTCGAATGATGTGCTAGCTCCACAATTACTCCATGAAATCTGTGCTGCAACAAACTATAGCTAATCATTTTTACATTAAATGCATGAATCAATATGCATGTGTCAATGTGTATTTTATGTGTTGCCTGTTTGGTAGGTGCGCAGCTTTGCACGTGACTTTCAGGTGCACTTGAAACGGCTAGAAATTAATTAGATTGATGTAAGATGTGGGAAACTTAATTATAACCCTAGTCGTAATATACACTTACCCTATAATCAACCATCATATGGATTAATTCCTGTTTGAGTTGGAATAGATTGGTTCCCTAATCTCAAATTCTCTCCAAACACTAATCTACTTTTTGAATTCCAGTATTTCCTTATTAGAGGAGAAATATTATAGCATCAAGGCTTAGATAGATGATAATATTAGGCTAATCTTTTCCCAGATTTCTCGGAGTATATATGTACCCTAGTCAAGAAGTGTGGTTGGACCTGGAGCCTGGTGCTAGTAGGTACGTACTAGTAGAGACTAGAGAGAGTATAAAGGTTTCTTCCCGATTCCTTTAAGCTTTTTTGAATTTAAGGATTGCTAAGCTAATTACTTTAGATACGGATAATGGTCTTCCTAAATTATAATCCACAAAAACTTTTGCAATCCATGATAATAAGAAGTGCTAGATTCACTAAATTTTGTTTATATAAAGATATTTATACAGAAATTCTCCTGTGCGGACATCCGGATGTTGTGGATTTCATTAATTTGGTGACCCTTGTTGGTGATCCTAGCATTATTCGTGGGGAGAACAATTCTGAAAGAAAAGACTGTATATTTGACTAATCGAAGGGCAGGTTGTTGCTCATGATGTGCTTACGTAGGCATCTCCTTTCTGTTGTTTATTTGATAAAGTTTCCTTGTCCTCGCAAGGTAGCTGTATAAGGACATGGATTTATATATACTCAACTCTATATAACATTATACATGTGCAGCTTGGTAGATTATTATAAGATTAGAGTGTGCATAAAATTATAAGATTATAACATTTGTAGCTTAATTTAGGTGGTTTTTGTTCTCATCTACGTACAATGTTAATGCAGTCACTTTCTATATGTACAATTAGACCCTACGTGTCTCCTACAATAATGTACATTTTAAAGGGTAACGTGGGTCTCAGTATGCCTACTCTCACATGTTGAATGAGAGTCTGAGAGAAGTGAATGAGTGGAGGTAGGAAAACCACACAATACGTAAGTTTTTTAGAATTCATTTGAAAGATATATGGACGGATCGAGGTCGATCTGACAATGAATGTGAGGTGTATGCTTAAGGGACTGCTCGCTTGACAAGGCTTTGCATGGAATTTGACACCCCAACCCCAACCCCAATCCTAACCCCCCAGTTGATCTGATCGAGCTCTCCCAGCCCATGTGTTTCCATGGTCCACACTCCAACACCCACTATTGTCTACATCCAACAAAGTTCCAAACCAAGAAGCTTACTACTTTCCTGGTCTGATCTCTCTCTCTCTCTCTCTCTCTCTCTCTCTCTCTCTCTCTCTCTCTCTCTCTCTCTCTGTGTGCGTTCTTTATTGTTTTGTTAATTAACTACTGAATTATGCAATATAGCATTGCTCACATGTTTCATATTTGAGCTTTCCAATTAATATTAGTTGCTTTGGAGAAAGATGTCATTAAGAATTGCAATTTAATTAGGTGCAAATCTATAGATGTCATGTCAGTAAGTTTCACTTTAACACTTGAGCGAGTGTGAAAATCATTTCTCTTCATGAATGATATATAGACTAAAATGTTCCAATGCAATTGAAATTAGTACAAAACATAATTAGAATAAATTTAATTATACATATGCATCGGAAAAAGAAAAGAATTCAATCATTAAAGTTAAGGAGATTGATATGTTTTTGTCCCTTGTCTTAATTTTTGTGTTTTTAATTAGGTCAATAGTAATTCATCTCTTTCTTAAAGCTAGCGACATACTATAGCATAATGAATCGTTGATTTCAGTATATATAGCATAATGAATTGTTGATTTGTTTGCAATTACCAAAGCAAAGCTCCTGGCATGAATTACAAGCAATCAGGTCAGCTTGGAAGAGCTTTGAAGAGCTAGCAAGCAACTCATGATCAAACCACAAAAATCTCCAGCTGCCTACTGTTCATCGATAGCTACCAAAACCCTCTGTTGCGCCCTGTGATGACAACACATGTACTAATAAATTTCTGTTATAATCTTTTGGTTTGATTTCTAGCTCTCTTCTCTCGCTCTCTCTCTAGACTATATACATAAGTAATTAAATTTCTGAATTTCATAGGAAAATATTAATTCTCATTTGGATGATTAATTATATGTAGAGTGAGATGTACGCAATTAATTAAGGCAGGCACATGTATAAGGTAGTACGCATATCCCCACATAATGGGAAGTGGCCATTAATCATATGTGGCTGTATATAAATGAACCAAGTCGTTGCTTGGCCCTTTCACTCCATGCCACAAATAAATGTAATTAGCTACCAAGATTTCAAAAACAAACAACTGGTCGCAGCTGCTTTCCGACATTAATATATATCACCTGCATATTTTTTTCAATATTCAGCATGAGCAAAAAGAAGATTTATCATGAAAATTGAACCAATCATCATCGAGGCTTTACAATTATTGCTTTTCAGAAGAAAAAAAGGTATTGCAAGTGCAGTATACTGTATAAAACACAACACAAATTAGGAGGATATGTTCATCCAAAAGAAAAGGAAAACACATCGATGAAACAAACAAATGAATTAACCACAAGTCATCGAGTAAGGCATAAAGTAGGTGCATCAACCTGGCCCACCACCACGTTCTAGATTTACCAGAATTTCGGATTACATATGCATCTGCTATTATGAATGAGCTAATTACATTTTACACCGTCCGTCCATCAGTATCTATCTATTATGAATTTAATTTTTTGTTTTAGATGCCAACACAAACAATTAATTATTACCATTTAGTCAATGATCGTCACGTGTAAGGATCTAAAAGATATGAGGATCCGTATACAAGTCGCACGCTTCACCCATTAAACAATTGGGCTAGGCTAGTTATACTTGAAAAAGAAAGAAAGCTTCCTTCTTCTTATCTCCATAAGATTAAGCTCAAACTCAGCCACTATATATGTATATATATATAGGGCATACAACACAGCTTCTTCTTGTCTAAACACCAGCTGCTTCTGCTTCTTCTTCTTCTTCTTCTTCCTTAACGTACGTATGTTTCTCCAATTAAGTAGCTGTGGTTCTTATATATTTATAGTTCGATTCATTACTTCATCTGAATCTTGTATGTTAATATTCTCTCTCTCTCTCTCTCTCTCTCTCTCTCTTTTCAGGTGGGAAGAAAGAAAGAAAGATAGCACAAGCATGATCAATGATCGAAAGGAATATATCGATATATTTGGATACGGGTGAGTGGATTCCATGCTATGCTTGTCAAGTGAGCAGTCTCTTTCGCAAATTAATCTTTGTTTCGTTGTCTGTTCGACCTGAAACCTACGGTAAAGGATAGACTCTAGACAACCCTAATTAGATTTTATTAAGCGGGCTTTTTTCAATTAATTAACACGATTGATCATCTAACAAACTAAACCATACATCTTGGAATATGACCTAGAAGTTGATCGACCGAAATTATTGGAAAAGCTAAAAGTTACTATATGTAGTGCATATACAAAAGGCGTGTATGTAGTAGGACTTATGCTGGACTGGATCGTCTTCTGGAAAGATTCAATATTGTCCTTGATTTTTTGTTTTCTAGCTTTTGGGGACACAAAAGATGCCGTCAAATGATATGCATGCTAAAGTCTTTTGTTGCATCGATATGTCTCGTCAATATCTCAAATTTTGCTCCTTGTGATCACAATTAAGGAGTCTACTGAAACATGGTGTATCGAGTATGTATATAATATAGTTGTTACACGCCTAGAAAATTTTCTAGATTTTGGATTTGCATATGAGGTATACGTCTTTTATTTCAGATTCGCTTATATATAACAGGTTTAGGGTTGATCAAATTGGGAAGGGGCTTGGTGTTTTCTTTTTTGGATCCTCTTTTAGGGATAGAAAATTACAGTAATTAATAGGCTACCTATAAACCTCTTTTGTGGTATAAATATGACATAAACTAATGGCTGGAGTTTTACGGTAGTGAGTTTTGTGGCCTCCAAAGACTAGGCAGGTCAGCGCCAGTTTAGTAATTGTCGATGAGGCAAAGCGACGGATTATTACTCCATGAGAACGAATCATTTTATACAGCCAATTAATCACGGGAATCGAAGTATCAAAGGTTGTTTTTGTTGTTTATATGCTTCAATATCAAATTCAAATATCTGAAATCATTCTAGTAAATTTGTGTCACGTAATTGGATGATCGCATCGGCATGTGATTTAATTTACCAAGATTAATTAAGTTTATTGCTTCCAGTATATACCACCAAAATATTTACTTTGTTATTGTTAGCTAGAGGCGTACATTACATACGCACAGTAGATTACAAAATTAGTCTAGGTATAGCCTATAGGACTAGGAGAGCTAGCTACCCTAATGTTGATAGGTCGGAGGGACAACGAACCTGAGGTGTAAGCAAAGAGACTTTTCATTTGGCAAGGGTTTGCATGGAATTCAACATCTTGAGCTATCTACATGTTTCCTCCTGTCCTGTGGCTATATATACCAAGTTTAATTATGAGGAAGAGGATCAACTTTTCATCAAAAAACGTGATCATGTCCAGGTACATTTTAAGAACACAAGTCTTCGATCTGCAGGTATGTCAGTACATATATATATAATCTCATCACTGTTTTTCTTCACCAAAAATATATTGACAATTACGCCATGTAAATTGTGGTCCAGCAAGTTTGTGCTTCAAAGTCAATGTGATCGCATCAAATTCTCCAGTGAATTGCGGTTGGTAGAAAGCTATATTAATCTGCTTTTAGTTATTATGATTTTGTTTCTTCCCTCCTTCCCTCCTTCCCTCCTTCCCTTCTTTTATATGTACTCATTTTCTATATGTGAATATTACGACCCATATAATACATGCATTATGCATAGATGAAGTATTGTTATAATTAACATCATCTCATGCTCATCGACAAAGCTCGTATTGGTTGTGGGCTTGTCTGCCTTTTCCAATTTCAAGTCTTGTCAGTGACGTGGCATTATCTCACACCTTCCCGTTGCGTTGGAGGTCAAACAATTTCATTGCGCATGCTGCATGCAGATTCGTTTCTGGCTCGGTAGGTATGGCTTTCGTCTTCACCGAAAAGAGCTTTGAAAGTTACTTTGTTGCGGGCATGCATACAGTCTACAGACTCTGAAAGCCCGTGGCCATGAATGAGATTTGCTTGTTTAATCAGGTAAAATGACAAGGTAAAACAATCAGCTAAGGTTAATTCATTAGTGAAAATTTGATTATCTCCCTCTTGAAAGAATATAAATGAAGGGTTAGTGAACAACCAGCAAATCCAACACTTGGAGAATAAAAGGCTAACTGAAACACAGTGCAAGACAAATAGAATCTTGAAAGAGAATCCCTTGTGTTGTGCTTAATGTACGTAATTTATGTGGGTAGCGGCAAAAGCAGAGGAGGAGGCCATGGTTTACTTTGTTTTCAGAACACAAGTACGTGACTTATGTTATATGCATAGTTTGGTGAATTTTTTTTTAAAAAAACAACTTAATTAAAGATACTACTTGTCTTCTTACCTATAAGAAAATACTTCTCCTTTATGCAGATCACAATTTGACAAATGTGTAAAAATAATTAATTAAAAACACAAAATAAAAAATATCTACACATACACCGCACTACTATTAGGAGGAATGATACTTAAGGAGGAAAGTATTTTCCAAATAGAGTGTAAGAAGAGAGGTTTTTCAGATTTTCAATTCGTCGTTCTTTGTATTACTAATTGGAAATATATACAAGTAAAGATGGCTGGCCACAAGATTACAAACTAAACCACAAAACCAGATTTCTGATTTCCAGCATTTTGTATTTCCCTAAAACCAGGATTTGTGCTTCTAGGTGGTAGACAAGCTTTTTCAGAATTTGTGGACAGCAATCTAACACTCCCCCTCAAGACATTAACCGACATTTTAAAACAAGAAACTTTCAAAATCGAAAAACACACCATACTTGGCAGGATAAAAAGAAAAAAGAAAAAATTTCACGACTACAATCGATTTTCTTTGCATCATTCATGTATTTTTGTGTTCGGGGTGGGAGCTACATCGTGATATGGGTTTACACTTTGGGTCCACTGGTGACCTAAAAAACCTTGGGCCAACAAAAAACAACCAGTCCAGATGAGTGAAACTATTACAGAAGGCCCACTAATTTGTTTGCGTCTCTTTAGCTCTACCGACTGCCCCTTCAAACTCCACAAATAAACCAAGTCTAAGGGTCGGAGACCGTTGATTTTTGCGGGGGACTGATGGCATTCTCAAGTTGCAAGCTGGTGGGCGGTTCGCTTCCTTCGGCAGTCGGAGAGAACCAGTTGCCCTGGAAGCGCTCGGTGACGACAACCCCGAAGAGAGCTCTTCCTCTTCAGGTTCATTTTTAACTCATCACCTTAATTTGGCTTTGGCCTCCTCCAGAGTTGAGATTCAAGTTCAACACTGGTAAAACCCCTTGCTTAGCTGAACTCATCAGTCTCCTTCTACTATTTGATTTTCAACCGCCTTTGCTAGATTCATCCACTCTGTGCTGCTCAAAATCCTTTTATTGTCGTCTATTTTGTGCTTAGAAATTAACATTTGTCCTCTGAATTGTTGACCCACCTCTTTTTCCGAGCTCATGTCTGTAGGAGAAATTCATTAAGATTGGTTTATTATCTATGTATTTTTGGGTGAAGTTTTCAACTGCAAATGCATTTGGGTTTTCCTTTTAAACCCAATTATGTAATATCAATTATCTATAGGGTAATTTACTTTACTGGATCATTCTTTGTAGTAAACTCCGTGCTGCAATCATTTAGGAATGTACTAGACTAGTGGGTCGCATTTTGTTCACATAGTTACAGATCAAAAACATTTGTAATTTCATAACAGTGAATGAGTTGTTTAGTTTATGTTTCCTTATTTTCGGAAATTTGTGAAGAAACTTAAACTGTAAGCTGTAAAAAGGTTTGAGTTCTCTCTTTTGATATCCTAATGTTTGTTCGCTTTTTGTCTAACTCAGTTAATTAGTCCTCTGATATGTGAGGCTACAGACCTCCTATGTCTATAGATTGTAGCGCGCATCTGCAGTCGGAACTTAATTGTAGCTTTTTTGTTCCAAACTAGTTTACTAGTTGGTATCACTGAGCGAGTCGTCTCATGCCATGTGAAACTAAGTGCATTGTTTCCAAATACTTGGAATTGTTTCGATGTCCATAAATGGTACACATCATATTTAAAAGATCAACAATTGTATGGTAGCATAATATTTGGGCGATCATCAATTATGTATGCAGCAGCTGATCTGCCTAATATGGTCCATAAATAAGCAGGTTAAGAGCATAATATTAAACCGTGGGCCATGACATCCTTAGATTTCATAGTTGGCATTTAAATTTCATTGTAGGAGTCTCTGCTTCCTGAGTTTCAGACAAGAGGAGAAGAGAAATATCTTTCTTAGCTTCCATAGAATCTACGTACTGTATGTTTTTGGTGGAGATAAGTTACCAAGATTTTGATAATAGAACCTAGGGTAGTCGTAACCTTTTCCATATGGTGCCCATTGCCCAAGTTAATTTCTGGCCACAGTGTAAGTTTGTTGTGATGAATTCATGCTAATCTGAATAAGAAGTACCAAATATATGCTCTGTTTTGTCATCTCTAGTTTGAGTGTTTTTATCCCAAAGATCTAAGGCTCTAAGCGACAGAAAATTTCATTAATTTCTGGTCATAAATACAAATGGATCACAAGGAAGATGGATTAGTTTTTGCTTAGTGGTAGGATGGGATTTTTACGCATCCTTCTTTTGGTAATCAGGGTCCCTCTAAACTGTATGCCGTAAATGGTTAAATCATGCATAACTTGAGCAGATTGATTTTTATTTGTCAAAGGGCCTCCAGAAATTAGGCTCTAATACCCTTATTAGTGCTTTCTAGTACTTCTCAGTTCTTGGTTACACACTACAAGTAACAAAAGACTAAGTTCGTTCGTGTAAGGTGTAGGACTTCTGAATTCATCTCTGAGATGCACCTTTATTTAACTTCTCCTTTTCTGAATTATTGCAGGTGAGAAGTGAGGGAAAACGCAGAATAGAAGCTCCAAAAGCCTCTGGCGTTTCACGAAGAGATTTGATGTTATGTTTGCCTGCTGGGACACTGGCAGCAGCCACTCTTTTTCCAATAAAACCTGCGGAAGCTCGCATTGTCAAGCCCGAGATCAGGAGGAAAATTCAAGAGAAGTTTGAGAAGATCAGGGAACAGTTTGGGCTGTCAAAGCCGAAGACCAATGATGGGAAAGAGCCATACCCATCACCACCATTGTCGGAGGAGAAAAAGCCTCAGACTTTGCCCCCTGCAGCACCTCAAAATGCTCAAGGAAGCCTGCTTGTACCACCAGTGGAAGCAATTCTGCCTTGAGATGGTAAATGGTCATTCATTCCATTGTTGGGGTTGTTGAACTTTGGCTGCCTTATCGTTTTGTTGACACAGTAGGGCATGACACTTGTCGAAAGTTTATGCTTCTATAGAATTTTAATTGGCCTCTGTTAATTCAGAACTTGGGATCACGATTTCGTTGTTGAATAAACCTTTGTGTGCATGATCATTTTTGCTCCTGGCTATGTTTTTCTTTGTTACCATTTACAAATCTTATATTGCAGAAAAATCAAACTTCATTGATATTGATCTGTTACAACAGTAATCTACAAAATGAGAAAAAAGAAAAACTAATTGGTCTTTTTGTTCAAGTTGCCAACAAGCTGGCGCATCTGAAACCTCCAAAACAAGAAATAAGCTAATCCCAAGCCGATCAAAACGAAAATCCAAACACTGTCTTCCTTGCTCTCCCTCACCGACCTCACCTCCGCAATGCTAAACTCCTCCCTCTCCACATTTCCGGTCATACCCTCCATGATGTGCCCACGCAGCACATACACCCTGTCCTCCGCCCCGACCGCCACAGAAGTAGGAAAACCCTCGGCGTCGAGGTCAATTTTGTCATAAACCGCACCCTCCCCCCAACTGTCCTGGCTCTTCAAGAACCACAGCGTCTTATGTGACACCACCAAAACGACGCCGTCGCTTCTGATCGCGATCCCGTCGGCGAAATGCATGTCCTCCGGCAGCAGCACCAGCCTCGCCGTCCCGTCCTCCGCGTCCACCTTGAACATCTTGCCCGTATTCGATTGCACCACCAAAAGATACCCCTTACTGTTATAAGCGACGCCGTTTAGGCCGCAGAAGCTATACGGTAGGTCTCGGTCCACGGGCTGCGCAGTGAACGCCCGAGACTTGGAGAAGATGGAGGCCTCCCCTTTGGCGTTGACCTTCCAGATGAAGTTGCCGGCCGAGTTGGTGACGTAGGCGTTGCCCTTGAAGTCCACCGCGACGTCGTTCGCGATCTGACGTGTGCCGTCGCTGACGTCATCTGAGGGGAGGGGGGAAAGGAAGAGGCGTTGGCGGGTGCGGAGGTCGTAGGCAGCGAGCGCGTTGAATTCGGGGAGCGGGGCCAGGGCGTGAATATTGGCGAGGAGGCGGTTGTTGACGGAGTCGACGGTGAGGCCGACAACGGAGACGTTTTCGGGGAGGGTAGGATCGGAGATTAGGGTGTCGACGACGCCGGCGTCGGAGACGGAGGCTATGATGCGATGGTGGAGGGAGCCGACAATGAAGTGCTGGGCGGATGGGTCATAGGTGACGCCTTCTGGGTAGAGGTTTGGGGATCGGAAATTGATGTGGTGGGGCTTTCCGGCTTGGGTTAGGGTTGGGATTGGGCCCAGCAAGATGGCGAGGACGATGACAATGAAGGAGAGAAACGATGGTCTGGATGCGATTGGAGGCATGGTGTTTTTCATTTTTCAGTGTTGGAGTGATGGAAATATGTAGTGGTGTGCATTTATAGTGATATTAAAGATTATTTCTTGTCAAGCAATCCAAGGCCAGGCAGCCTCCAGTCTCCCATTTCCAGATATGATTTCTTGTCAAAACAACAAACGATCGATGAATTTGCCTGAAAAATTGAACAAACGAACTCTTTGCGGACGTCGATTTCCTTTCTCAAAGCTAAAGAACAAGCAAAACAAACAAATATCTATATTTGTTCGGCCTACAAGAAAAAGTCGCTATTCATTTCTGTTTTGGATCCAAACTTCCCAAGGCTGACAAAATTTAAGTTTACATGCGGTAGCCCAAAGTCCAATCTCTTTCAGGCCTGAGACGAAGTAGCCCAAAGCTAATGTTATAACTTCAGATTCCAAAGCCTTAGGCCTTTGCCTTGGGATATAGTTTCAGCCCATGCAATAACCGTGCATGCTGTTTTGCTTCAAAGCTGAGCTGAACATAACATTTCGCAAACCCGAAAATATCAAGGGCCCTTGTGGCAAAATAAAATTCCACGTCATTTATAAAGTTGTTCCGGAACATTCCGGAATGGAAACCCAGAAGATATTTTGCCTCTGTTTACAGAAACGGCCATAGCTAAGCCAGCCATCACTGTAATATAAATACGTACCACCACCCTCCATTTCTCTCTGTTCTTGTTTGTATTACTTGGTATTTGTATTTCAATGGTCCTCTGGTTTCTATAGCATTCAAGATTAACAAGACTCTGATATTAGAAACTGTACACGTGGTTGATAAAAGTGCTTGAGGAACTTGTGCTTTGCGAAGTTCGGTGTTTGATTGGCAATTAAAAGAAGCTCTGAGATTGGTTTTCTTGGGTGGTGGTGATTTTGGTGGAGGAGATGGAAGCTGAACAGGGGTCGCCATCTTACTACAGTGTTCTTGGTGTCAGTTCGGACTCTTCCATTGAAGATATAAGGCGTGCTTACCGCAAGCTTGCTATGGTAGGTAATCTTTATCATCTCTTCTTTTCTTTTCTAGATTCTAATTTTCATATATATATAAGTGCTTGCTATATACATAGATCACGTCCAGAGAAAACGACTAGATTTCGGAGAGAAAAAAAAAACCCCTGTTTTTTACATGGTGACAATGAGAAGAAAAGATGCATCTTTTTGGTTGGGTTTCTGTGCTTTTTGGATTATTTAATTCGGAAAGTTTTGTGCTAATTAATGAAATGAGTTTAGAGTTGACGTTGTGTATTTGGTTATCTTGTGTTGGTGCAGCAATGGCATCCGGACAGGTGGACAAGAACACCTTCTCTGTTGGGTGAAGCCAAGCGAAAATTCCAGCTTATTCAAGAAGCCTATTCAGGTATATAAACATAATTTTTTTTAAGTGGTGGTTTTTTGTGCATAGGGTTTCTTCTTGAATTATTAATTATTTTCATTTAAAAGAATCTTCGAGTGTTGATTGATTTGATACAGCTTTTGTTTAACCCTGTTTTTTGGTTTTGATTGGAGCAGTGTTATCAGACCAGAGGAAGCGGACCATGTACGATGCAGGCTTATATGATCCTGATGAGGAAGACGACGAGGTGGGTCTTTATGTTTCTATTTATTCTTCAATCAAGGCCCTCTCTGTGTGTTGATTTAAGCTGCCTTTTTCGTTTCCTCTGTTTCTTTATTGTGCTGTGTCTTTGGCACCTAATTTACACACAACTGATGTGTACCGCAGGGATTCTGTGATTTTGTGCAAGAAATGGTGTCTCTCATGGCCGAATCCAGAAGAGAGGTAGACTAGACTAGACTCTCTGATCTTGTTTTCTTTTTTAGCTTAATTTGGTTGGTTCGTGGTGTGATGGTAGAGATAGTTTCTACTTAGTCGTTTCTAGGAATTCTAATTGGGGTTATGTAATTTGGAGTGGTGATCAGGCAAAGAATTATAGCATGGAGGATCTACAGACAATGTTGATGGAGATGGCCCAAGGGTTCCAGTCTCCTCCTCCGTCTTTGTTCTGTGGACAATCAGCTTTTGAACAGTCTGGATGCTCCAAGACCAAGAGGACGCGTCTGGAATCTCATTCAGGGGTGGACAGAGGCTCAGCTCTACACGTACCAAGCCTAGGAAATGGCTTCTTTTCATTTTAGTGGGTGAAGTGGTTGCTTGCTGTACTTTGCCTTTTGCTCTTGTGGTCAATTCTGAGTGACTCTGTACAAAATGTTTTTGGGTAATCTCAAGTCCCTGCCACTGGGCCTGTTTGTTGTACTGGACTCAAGTTGGAGGCAATGGAATTGTGAAAACTTACTTTTTATGCCTTTGCTTTGAATGATTGATTGGGGTTCAATCAACAAAAGCCCAACCCAGGAAAAAGAATGACCTAATGCTTTGTCGTTTAATTGGAGTTTGGACATTTCTGTAATAATTGCCTAATTGGTTGTTGAGTGGGTTGGCTTTTCATGTTGCATTGCTTTCTCTTGGATGGATTTACTTGTGGAAAAAGGAAAAGCATTTGGTACTGTTTTTTTTTTAAATTACAAAACAAAATGACAACAATGTTAACATAAAGTTATGGTTGCGCTGGGCCAAGCCAAAAGTATAGCCATTGGATACGTCACGACTGTTTCATTTGTGTTCACAATAATTGAATAATTGAATATAATCAATAAGCAGCTTCCCAGTCAGATTGATGCGATCCTTCTCACCAGCTCCATACATAAACAAGTCTGCAGATCTCTTGGCCCTTCAATTCAACCTTACCCAGTTATTGGCCATTCTTACAGGGCATATTATTATTACTTGTCATATTGGCATGTGGTGGAGGCAAAAGCTGTTTTTGAGTAATTTTTGCATATTCCAAGTACACCATGTGATTGTTTTTGGTATCATTTTCCTGCCAAATAATGAATGCACCATGATTATTTCATTATTGGACTAACAATTAATAACTGGTTTCCAGGAAAAGCAATACTGATTAGTTTTAAGGAAAGAAGGTTCCGAAGATAATCATCCTTAGCTATAGCTATAGCTAGGCTGCTAGGCTGAATGAATGAATTATTTATACTAGTGTGTGTTATTGGGGAAGTTGACCTGGATCTGGATGAAGAAAAGGGGAGGGAAGAATATGCTTTGAGAAAATGGGACGGTGCCCCTTTATAACCGATTATCTCCATCTCCCCCTTTACCCATAGACGCATATATGTATAATGTATATGTATATGTAGATTCCACATTCACAGCTTTTTGTATCCTCCCCCTCTCTCTCTCTCTCTCTCTCTCTCTCTCTCTCTCTCTTAAGTTTCTTCAGGGTTAAGTTTCTTCAGGGTTAAGTTCCTCATCGCTACAATTTCAATGTGTCTTTCTGTGGCTAAAAGCAACAGTTTAATACTGCACACTTTGGTTACAACAACACAAATTAGCACTGTAAAGCTCAAAGCCCCAAAGAGAGAGAGAGAGAGAGAGAGAGAGAGAGAGAGGAAGGTAGATCTCATAAAATGATTCATTTTTTGATGATCCAAGCAAAAGGTGCAGTGCAATGTCTCCCTCTCTCTCTCTCTCTCTCTCCCGGAACTGCAGCTCATCAAACGTGTAGAGAGTAGGGCCGCTATGTCATCAAACGTGTCCATAATATGGGCATTGGAAATTGGAATCTCCCAAATATTGACAATGAAATGTTGATTTGTTTGTGGCTTGTGGCCACTAGTCTTTTGCAAGACTTCCGCAAGAGTCCTTAGTCTTTGTTTCTTCTGCTTAGTCTTTGTTTCTTCTCACTCAGAGTCGGTCTCATCATGTTAATGTATATCAGTATAATTATAACACCTATAAGTCTCGCGCATACGAAACTATCGAGGACAAACAAAAGTGGGCAACGACAATTCAACAATTAGGGAATTGACCCCAGATGAGCTGTTGGTGATCCGATATTTTATATATATCCACCAATCAATTATGTGCTGCAACATGAAGAACAGAATTCCCCAAAAGGCTCGTGAGTCATCATGTCAATTGACACATAATAAACTTACCCAAAAAAAATAAAATGTTCAAATGATGCAAATGAAGCGGATATTTCATGCTTTCGTCTCTCATTTTTCGCTGGCGATTGATGCTGTATGAATTTTGATGCATGTTTATGTTAAAAGGGGCCGGTGGCTGGACAATATATCCTGTTTTGTCTAAAGATGTACGGGTTTATTTTACTCTTAATTATAAGCTCAAATGGTCACTTTTTCGTTTAGATGAAATGAAACCTCCTTTCTATTCTCCTACTTTATATAGTTTTCTTTTTCTTTTTCTTATACGATTCGAAATGTTATATATATGTGGACAAATTTAATAGAATCCAATGAATCAACCGTAATTTAAAAGTAAAATAGGAAAATGATAGATGGGAACTCCTACTCTAATTATTGTTGCGATCTCTAAGCGGGATTTTCAATCATCTATCCCTTTTCTTTCAACAACGAAGACTAAAAAATTCAAGAAAAAGAAAGCCACAAAATTACATGTCTAATTCCCAGCATCAAATAAGATCTTCTTTTCTGTTTTCTTGGCTTGCTTGATCTACTTCCATTTTCTTCAACCTCCACAATCGAACCCTTGAATGAATTCATGATTCACCAAAATTTTCTCTAAGATTTGTGATCCTTCAAAGATTCTTTTTAATTACACCTTATTACATTTATAGGGCTATACGTATAGTAAAAGTATCCGACATTACACTATGCATATCGTACATTAAGTAAGGATTGATAAGAAAGCAATGTACATATACATTCATACGCCCATAAAATAAAAGATTAGACATCTGTAAATGGTGGTGGGGGCCAAAAATTTGGACCATCCACATGCAGTGCGATTCCCTTGAAGAAAAAGCAACATCTTTCCTTCCTAGTAGAAATTAGAAAAGCCCCTCACAACACGTCTCCCTCACTTCAATTTCCCATCCCTCAAACCCCCAAAAAAAGCCCTCTCTTTTTCACTCCATGCACCTAATAATAACGTAATCTCTCTCTCACAAACAGTCTTCCCTCCCCCTTCTACCAAATTTCCTTAAAGTCACCAAACCCACTCCGCCCTAATAAAAACCAGTACCATATCAACATATCAATCAAATTCACAGCCAGGAACTCCCTATGCCGATCAAAATGCGTTGCTTTAAACCTCCGGCCCTGGCTATGATTGCCATGTTCCTTTTGATTGCCTCCGTAGCAGGTCCAGTCTACGCTGACGAAA